AAAAACTTTCTCGGTTACTGAACTGAGCAAAAAGAAGACTGAGAAAAATGCATATGTTCCCTATGTTTAAGAAAAATTTATTCAGACTTGAACCAAAGAAAGGAGTTTTTAGAAGTTATCAAAGACTCAAAAAAGAAGGTTTGTTTGAGATCATATTATTCTCGTAATATTATATAATATTAAGTAGATAGAGGAGTTGTTATTTTTAACAGCGTTCCATAGAATGTAACAATAAATTACTATATGGAATATATAAAAATAAATCAATGACCATTAGAGTGTCGAAGTCAAAAGCATCATCTCGTTAGAGGTGAAGAAATTAAATTTTTCATTCGTGAAGGTGACAGCGGAAGTGAAAATAAACTGACTTGTGATAGTTGCCAAAAATATAAATTTTGGAAAGCAATAACTATGAAAAACATAGTTTGATGTAGTGATTGTTTGCCCCCTTATGATGAAGTTCGATGGGCGAATACGATTTCTAGGAGGAGTAATACTAACCTTAGTAATTACACACTCACTAAATTCATCAGTAATCCTTTTCCTAAATCTTCCCTGCCCTCTTCTAGAATTTATTAACTGTTTCTTGACTGTTTCATCAAGAGTTGGGTCTTTTCTAATTTTCTCTATTTCTCTTCTTATTCGAATAGGATGGTTAAATCTCTCGTGAGAATGTAAATAAGGGTAAAAGTAAAATGCTGATTCTTTGGAAATATTAAGTTCAACCTTAGCAATACTTAGAGAAGTAATAATTGGCAACACTAAACTTCGAAACAAATCCCAAAAAGTTTTATCTTTTGACCGAATATAGAACCTTGCTTTATCATCAACACTATTAGCATCTTCAAAATTAAAATAAAGAAATTCTTCTTCAATCTTTTCTAATTGCTTTTTATAAGTAAATCAGTCATCATTTATATTTCTTCAATACTTTTGACTTTGAACTTCATACTCAAACTTACTTTTTTCAAGGTAATCAAACAAATCGCTTTTTTTAAAAAATCCTTTAAAACGAAAGTTCTCAAAGAAATTATTTCAATCTCTCCTTTTAACCGAACCTACATATAATCTTGCTTCTCCATGGGCTTTTTTTGCTCCTCTTATTGTCTTGTTCTTTTTTACGAAACTGTCAGCAATTGTCGTTTCAGTGCCATTAACAACTATTTTGTATTCCATTTTTCTCCTACCAAAATAGCATCTAATAAGTGAATTAGCACATCCACTACAATACTATTCCCTGCTTGCTTATACATTTGGGTATCACTGACTACAATTTTGAAAGTGTCAGGAAAACCCATTAACCTTAAACATTCCCTAGGGGTAAGTTTTCTTATTTTACTCCCTTCAGTTATGTAGTTATCAACCCCTGCTCGATGGCATTTAGTCATAGTTGACAAGAGAGGTCGAGCAACTTCCAAATCAGTTTCAATCGTAGTTCGATAATTAGCAGTTCCCTCACAAAGGACATATTTTTTTACCTTGTCAGATAAGTAATACTTATCGATATTAACAGAGAGAGAGAGAGAGACGAAATCTCCATGTCAGTTAAATTGCTGATTTGCTTTTTGACACAAAGCAATATCTCCATCTACTTGGGTATACCTCTTTTGCTGATTTTTCTTATCAAGCACAAACTTTATCCCTTTTTCCGGTAGAAAATAATGAGAATTTTCCCTATCTTCTAACAAATCTTTCATCTTGATAACCAAAGGTATTGGGAGAGGAAACTTGAAACCATTCTCTTCTAGTAGACCTACCACAAAAAGTCTCTGTCGGTTTTGAGGTATACCATAATCTTTAGAGTTTAAAACAGCATGCTTAACATGATAACCCAAGGATTGAAATTTTTTTAAGATAGTAGTTCAAGACTTTCCGCTATCATGACTCAACAAACCTTTTACATTTTCAAAAATGAAAACTTTGGGTTTGATTTCTTTGATTAGTCGAATAAACTGATAAACCAACAAACCCCTTTTATCTTTAATATTTCTTTTACCAACCATAGAAAATGATTGACAAGGAGAACCCCCCACAAATAAATCAACCTTGCCTTGATACTTTTTGCCATTAATGTCAAAGATATCATCGTATCACCTATTATCATCTATGTCATAATTAGCAAAATAAGACTGCTTAACAAATCTATCATTATCACAAGCAAATAAAATATCATGATTAATATTCATTCTTTTTAAGGCTTGCTCAAAAGCACCTATTCCGCTAAATACAGTTCCTACTTTTAGCATTGCTCTTTAATGAATTTTACAAAAAAACTAACCTAATAGAGTTTGATACTGTAAGGTTGGTAAAGGAAAAGTATTCCAATACTTCTTGGATAGCAAAGGTCTAATTTTCTTATCAATATACTTCTGCCTTTCTAAACTTAAAGTTTTAGGTACTAAAATAAGAAACGCTAAGTTTTTGATTTCTCTAATACTTTCCACAATTTTATCTTTATCCTTTCATAAATCAAATTCGATAAAATCTCCATTAGCAAATTCTTGAACTTTGACTACCTCTAGATTAGAGCTTTCGATAAGAAATATGGTGATACTTATTTATGTTAGGTAATTTTATACTGTATTACTATTATCCTAAAATAAATGATATATAAAGAGGAATATGAAAAGTAGCAAAAGTAACCCAAATAATAATCAAAATCAAGAGAAAGTAAAAGGATGAAACTTTAGCAATGAGTTATAATCATTGTTTATCATCTAAAACAAAATAAGGGAAAGGGGGGGAATTTTTTTTGTTTTTTAAGAATAGTGTTTCAGTGAGGGCAATTACTGGAGGAACTGTTTCCCACACAAAATTGTAGTTGTCCTCACTCAACATTAATACCTTTATATGCATGAAAGTTACTTCCGATTAACTCTTGAATGAGAGGTCAGTTGCAATCTGTCGAGAATCGAAAAACCACTGAGAGACAGTCTCATGCTAACTTGACCTCTCATTGAGGAATTAATTTTTTAGGAATAATCTAAAAAATAATCTCTCTTAATTTTATTTATAATATTTATTTTAGCATTATGGGGAGATTTTCCTCCCCTTTCTACATAACCACTATATAATCCCTATATTAAAATTATATTATATGACAACCCACATTAAACCACCTCTTTCAGTCCAATGCTCTCACTGTAATTCCAACTTCTCCATCAATTACAGTCAATTCCACAAACAATATTACCAAAAAAATAATTTAGACTATTGAACTGAACAAGAATCTGATAAAGGCAAACATATTTGTTCCCCTTGCCTTCGTAAACTTTACTATCAGCAAAAATGGAAATACCTAGAACTAATTTCTAATCCTAAAAAACGCCAGCAACTAAGAATTTACCTATCCAAAGGAACCATCTAATCTTTTTTTTCTTATTCTCTCTAATAATTATATAATATTTACAGAAACACACTAATCATAAGGGGTAGGGGATATGAATAGTTTTAATCAATATAATCATTATATAAAGAATATAAAAGAAAGATATATCCCTAGAATTACATCCCAACAAATAGATGAATTGCAACAAAAAGGTCTAACTCAAAAAGATATTGGAGAGGTTTATCAAAGAACTGATAGAACTATTAGGTATTGGAAAAGGTGAACTGGAAAAAGTCTTCAAAAAAGAGGTAGAAAGTTAAAAATCCTTGGAAGTGCTTTAGAACTTTTACTTTCCTATGATGAAGATGACAACACTGCAACTTTACAAGAATTATCAGACTACTTATTCCAGCAAACAGGTCAAAGGTTTAGTCAAGCAACTATCTTTAGAGTATTGAAAAGAGAAAAGATTTATCTAAAAAAGGCAGAAAAACAATACTCCGAGCAAGATGAAGAAAAGGTTAAGAATTTTGTTAGAGATAATTATCGATTACTTTCTTTATCTTCTTTTTCGGCAGTAGATGAATGCGGATTTAACTTAGGAGCAGTTCCTTATTATGCTCGTTCTCTTAAAGGAAAAAGGGCAGTAGTTAAAAGACCTGGTAAGAGAGGAAGTAATTATACTCTAACCTTATGCGTTCAAAATGTGAAAGAGAAAGCAGTAATTAGTTATAAATTGATTAAAGGAGGTTCCAAAACTAAAAATTTTCATGAGTTCTTGTCTAATATCAAATTCACCACTCATTTACTACTAGACAATGCTCAAATTCATCATGCTACTAAATCCTGTCAAAAATTGGGATTAACGACTATTGCTGAGTTAGCCAAGCAAAAGAATATTAAACTTGTTTATTTACCTAGTTACTCTCCTAAATTGAACCCAGTAGAGAATTGTTTTAGCGTGATAAAAAGTTATTATCGGAAGAAGAGACCTAGGAGCGAAGAGGAGTTGAGAAAAATTATTGAAGAAGTGATAGTTAAATTGCAACAGCAAGATATGACTAAAACTTTCAAGAGTTGTTTTGAAAGAGGAAATTAATTTTGAAAAATGCTATAACTGCAACCTTTTGAAGCTCTGTTTAGTCTAGCATAAATGTTTCACAGAACTTTTTTTGCTTTTTCGCTAGAATCTGGACAGGAAAATTTCCCCTCATGGATGTAGGTGCGAAGTTTGCCCCTTTTCTTTAAATCAGTAATAGTTTCCCAGTAAGTTTCTTTATCATAATAGAATTTCAAAAGGCAAGCATTACAAATCTGTCTATCTTTCTTTCTTGCTTCTTTATCTTTCCAAAAATCAGGATTTTTGGCTTCCGGATTGGTTCAGTATTCCCAATTATTCTTTTTGGAATAAGATTTATGGGGAATTACATATTTGATTTCAAAAGTATTTTTACATTTAAAGCACTTAACTTTTAAAGGTAGGGGGAAAATGTTCTTGTTGATTAATTCCACTGTTTTTTTTTTTTTTTGCTCCATAAGTTATTTTTTTCATATTTAAAGTTAATTATCGGTTGTGAATTGGGTGATTAAAAAGCGGAAAATAATTATTCACACGGTTATATGTAATAAGGTATAGAAAGTAAATAAACTTTTTTTTTGCTTTATCTAGCATGCAGTTTAATGTAAAAGAGGAAATTAATTTTGAAAAATGCTATAGTTATTTTATCACATCCCAGCAAGAAGTCTTCCACTTCTGCAAGTGGGGGACGAATCAAAGGACATTCACTTGCTTTTGTTGTGATTACAAAGATAATCGAGATATTAATGCTGCTCGGAATATACTAGCTAGAGCAGAAAGGTTAGGAACTAGCCTTCAAGGAGCAGTGCCAATAGGTGCTGTGTAGAATTGAGAAGCACCTACTTCTTTAAGTAGTTGCAGTTCACAATCCTATATTTTGAATACAAATATCCCATTCGAAGTTTGGGACTGTTTTTATAATCATCTCTCAAGTGCGGTTCAGGCATTCTTAAAATTCTCCCAAGAGTTTGAGTGTAAAAAATCTTAGTTTTTATTCTTCTTAGCATTACCAGTACTGAAGCACGCGGACAGTCTCAACCGGTTCCAGCGGTTTTTTTAAAGAGTAAAACATCATATTTGCTATTATTATTTTCTAAACCGACTGGTTTGGGATGGGTATCAAATCATTTAGCAATTTTAGCTTTGGGTATTCCTAATTGCTGGAGGTGTTCAGTAACAACCTTTGCTCATTCTATTTGTCCTTTTGTGTCATCTGGTAGTTGGATAAGTAAAAGAGGATTTATATCTTTTTTTAGTAACTGATATTCAGTTTTTAGTTCTTCCCGCTTTATTACTCCCATTTTTAATAAAGTTAAATCTAATTCTGAACCTTTTAATGCTATTTGATTTTTTGGAGTAATAATGGTTTCTTTTATTAAACCTTGTTCAGCAACTTCTTGGAAAGGTATTCGATAATAGGTTTGAAGAGATTTTGTTTTGTCTCTGTGTTTAGGGGTGGCGGTAATGTAGAAAATTATTTTTGGGTCAATTAGGTTAATAACTTTTTTTGCTAATTGAGTATCTTTATTTTTATGGGCTTCATCAATTATTAAAATAATTTCTTGGTTAGAAAGTCTTGTTTGGGTTAAACAATTTTCAAAATACTTATTTTCAGAATTACGTAACTTTCGGTTTTTAGCATCATTAGTAACTAATTTTTCTCAGTTGACAAATAGAATATCGTTCGATTGAAGTTTTCTTTTAGTTATATCTTGGGCAGTTATTATTTTATCTTTAAAAATAGTGGGGAAGTATTTAAAAAATTTACTTATACTTTGTACTATTAAATTATTGCTAAAAGTAATTCAGAGAAAAACTTTATTTTTAAATTGAGTTAAAGCACTAATTGCTTTGATAAAAAGTGAAGCTATGAAAGTTTTACCGCTCCCAGTTGGAGCTTCGAGCAACATTGGTGAAGTTCGGTCTGGTTTTTGCCACAATGAACTAAAGATACTTTTTAGTTTATCAACTGCCTTGATTTGGAATGAAAAGGGTTTGAACATTTACTATAAATATAGTTTTTTTCAAAACCAATATTACTTGTTCCTTTTCAATTGCCTTTTTAGTTCAAGCATTTTCAAATTTTCTTCCATGATTTTTAGGTTATCGATTATTTTTTGCCGATTTTCTAAATCCTCTATTTTATTTGGAAATTTTAAACATGCAGGACACAATTTCTTATCCCTAGCTAACAAAAACAAAAGCATGATTATTGTCTGCTGACTGAAACCGCTATAGAGTAACTCTAGTTCTTTTTTTTGATTCAAGTTCTCCTCCGCTATTTGCTTCGCTGAGATTTTTTGCCATGCGAGCAATATCTTTTTCGACTTCTTCGATTATCTGCATTAAATGACAGCAATGGATTTCATGATTTTTATTCATTTTTGCTTTCAATTCAGTTATTATTTCTATTTATTAGTTTTAGTTTATTAGGGTTAGTTGCTTTAGTAGTAGATAGATGAAGAAGTTTATTATCCTTATCTTTCACATAAACATTATTATTACTAAATCCACTAATAAATCCAACTTCATCCCTTAATTTTACTTTGTCTCCTAGGCATCAAAATTTATCCTTTTTAGTTATTGATTTAACATTAGTTCTTTTTCTGCCTTTAAACTTTTTAGTTGGATTGGCATTATGTAATTCTCGCTTTTTTTTTCTAATTTGGGTAAGTTGTCATCACTCCTTAACTCTCTCTACTTTAGGATTTCCAGTGATGCACAAAGCATCTGTTCGTTTTTCTTTTCTTAGTTTATTTTCTAACCGAATGTTTTTGGTGATATAACCATAAGTTAAATTAACATTCGGATACTGTTCTTTTAATTGATGGTAAATTTTTCATCTTGTTGTTGTATTCATAAACGCCACATTTCTAAAAGATTTACCGCGTTTCAATTTTAATTCTAATTTACCATTGTGATAACTTTCATCGCAGGTTTTACATAAAGTGATTAGGTTGTTCGGAGCATTGCCACCAGTTTGTCTACTTTCTATGTAATGAACAACCAATTTTAAATCTTTACATTTTGCCTTAGACTGGCATTTGTGATTATCTCTTCACAAAATATATTGTCTAACATTTTCAAAACCGAATTGTTCGCCTTGTTGGTATTCTTTGCCTTGGATTTCAGAATTTTTAATCTTGGCAATATCAAAACTGGAAACTTCTACTATGGTTTTGTTGATAGGCAAGATTTGGTTAATCTTTTCAACTTGTTTTTTATGAGCCTCTATTTTATTTTTAATACTAGGAGCAACTCAACCATCTTCCTTTTTACGATTGTCAAACCTTGCTGGGCGGTAGCGAGTATTTCTAAACCTTCTTCCTCTTCGTAATTGTCTACGACTAGATATTAATTTAACAATATCATCCCTTAACTTTACTTCTGCTGAATAAAGTTCTTTTTTATCTGTAGTGGCAGAAAGACCGACATTTTTATATCCACTATTTATTCCTAAGGTAATATCTTGAACTTGATTTTCACATTCAAATAAGAGTTGGATGGTAAATGGTTCATATTTGACAATTTTTGCCTTATCACTTTTTAATAAATGCCTTGCTTTAATAATAGAACAAGGCATTAGTGGTTTTCCACTGATGCTGATTACATATACAATATTATTCATTGATAATTTTAATTTTTACAATTTCACTTTTACTAATAAAAGGTTATTTGCCCTTCGATAATATTGAAAATCCTTGTTAGGCTATA